CCCCAAATGGAAAGCAGACAGGCTTGACCACGTTAAAATTCTATACATAACCTTCAGGCTGTCTGCCTGGGTTAGGGAGGGCTGGAAACCGCTGACATAGAGGATATTTAAAAGTAAAATCAAGAACATCGTCAAGGCCTGGGTACTATTCACGCCTGAAAGCCATTGGTTGTGATGGGTGCATATGTGGCCAGGAGGGGGCACTGTCCCATGCTCCCCCTAGACCAGAAAGTATGTATGTATAGTCGTGAGAACAGCACAGCTCTGCCAAAGCGGCCTGCTGGTAAGTCAAATGGCTGAGCTCTACGGCACATTTCAAGGCCAGAGTGGTGACAGACCCTTCCTGGGGGCTGCTGCTGGGGGCCCAGTGCTCTCTTCTTCAGGGGTCAAGCAGGGACCCCTATGCAGAACCTCCCACACAGGTCTGTCTGGGCAGTCACTGGATGCTGTGGGACAAGAATGGCACTGTGGTCATAGCTCAGCCTGGCCCTCTCTGAAGTCTGCTGTTGCCAACAGTGGTGGCATCACCCGTCCCTGGGGCTCCCACCCAGGAAATGGTAGGAGGTGTGCAGAGTCAGGCTGACAGAGATCCAGGACTCTGGGGGAAATGGCTCCACAACTTAAGGACATCAGAGTTGAATGGCCCTAGGGCATAGCCATTTTCTCCTCTTGTGCTCTAAAATAGAAAAGCAAGGCCTAAAGAGGGAAAGATGTGCCCAGACCCCCTGAATCAGGCTCTGTGCACTGCTCCAGCCCTGGTGCAGAGACCATGTAGACCATGCTGGGGACCGAAGAAAGGCCTCCTTGCTGATGAAGTGGCTTTGGACAGACACACAGGATGTGGTGAGGGATAAGATCAGAGAATGAGCCATGGTGGCTTGAGAGGTGAGAGATCTGATCAGTGAGGGGGTGCCCCTTCTAGAAAGTTCTAGGTCAACCACAAATGTTTGCACAAGTCAGGGGTCACCCTGGGCTCTTGTCTTCTATTGACATTACATCTAAAGATTTCAGGAGACACATGTCTTGAAAAGAGAAAGAATTAGATTTCCAAAGTGAGTTATAATTACTGCATACATAATGTGTTATGTATAATGGATGGTGTATCTAAGATATAATATGCTCAGAAGTGCCCCTGTGCCAGGTGGTACAATTCCAAGTTTCCAGCTGGTCCGGTCCACCTCTCCATCTTCTTGTTGGTCTTCAAGAGAAACCTCCTCCATCATGCACAAACCTCTAGGGCTAGCGAGACTCAGTCTCTATTCCCACAGAATGCTAGGTCTTCTAAATATGGAAAATAACAATTGGAATGTCATATTCTTCTACATTTTTGGTCTATATAATTTTAAAACCAATGTTACAAGGTGATAGCAATAAGAAGGTAAAAAGGGAAGTTGGGAGGCAGTCATTGGGTCTGGATGGACAGACTTAGGTGCTACATGCCTGTGATTCTGCATACTTATGTATCCACAATGGTTGCCTGCTCCTGAAACATCTAGTTTGCGAGAGTATCATGTCTACAGGATGGCAAAGAGCACTGGCTTTGGGTTCAGATGCTCCCAAGTCATGTTACCGGCGCAAGTTTCTCTGATTTTCCATTTTCTCATCTACAAAGACAGATGGTAATGCCTTAATCATAGGGCATTAGTGGGAATTACTTGGGATAATGTAAAGTTCTCAGCAGATCTCCTTGCAGATGGAAAGTACAATCCTGGCAGCTATTATTTTGATTGTCATTATCATTATTATCACATCACTAGCCCATGTGGTTTTTGCTCTGATTCCAGAGCCTAGTTTAAGCCTCATTCTCCATCTCTGTCCCAACCACACTAGCATTTTTAGTCCCTGGGGCCTTTCGAAGGTTGCTTGCTACTAGGCAAGCCTTGAATGAAGTAGCTGGAAGGGCACACCTGGATGTTACTCCTGGGTGCTCCCCAAATAAGTGGTGGTTTTCTCTCTTGATTTATTTCTACTTCATTTTCTAGGTATCCATCATGTGTCTGATTTTTTTCAACTAGGCTGTGAGGTCACTGAACATAGGGTTGTCCTTATGGCTTCTAGAATGCCAGGGCCTCATACCAAGTGGGCATTCATGGATGCTGGTAGGAGGGGAAGAAGGAGGGGAGCAGGGACCTGACCAAAATGCACAGCTCCACCTGACTGGTCATGGCCCATTGCTCTCTCCTTTAGATCCATCCAGGTTCCTAGGAGCAGCAGGCCCACTGCCACCTCAGACACACTCGGGCTGGTGACTTTGCCTTGTGTCCTCCCATCCTAGGACTTCTCACAGTCAGCCCTGGTGTGCAGCTCAATGGAGAAAGCAAGGGCTTGGGTTGAGCTTGAGAGCTCAGAGTTATAGAGTACTGAAGAACAAAGCAGTGTTTAGATTCTCTTAGTCTCACTCTCCTCTCTACAAACTGCATATGCTGCTTAAGTGAGGATGGTAGAGGAGAACTGGACCCCTAGGGCTGCTGGACCTGCCCTCATGGCCTCTGAGTCATGGGGCGTGTCTGGGTGTCTGACCCTGACTGTGTTTGAGGCTTCACAGCTCTTGTGAGCACTTGCCTGCCTTCACCTACCTGACAATTTAGGACATGAGGCCAGTGAGGCTGAGTGACCTGCTACCCATGGTGAATGCCAGGGCTGATTCTGGAGGCCAGGTCCACACCTCATCCCCAGAAGGTGCAAGTGAGAGGAGAGGAGGCTGAGGCTACTGAGAGATGAACTGTGGAGATAGGAGTGTTTGGCTGGCTTCTGCTATATCCAGGAAGCAGCTTTACTGGCTCCTGGTCATACTTTGTACCCTACAGAGGGATTTGGCAAACCACAATTATGGGCAGGACCTGAGTCTCCAAGATCAACTGGCTAGGTAACACCTCCATAGAGGCAGGGCCTCCTGGAGATCCCAAATCCTGTAGACCAGTGGTTCTCAGTGCTGGTCCCAGGATCAGCAGCAGCAGCTTCACCTGGGAACTTCTTGACATGCAAATCCTCAGCCCCTACCCAAGCACTACTGAATCGAACTCAGGCGGGACTGTCAATCTCTGTTTTAATGAGCCCTACAAAAGATTCTGGTGTATGCTAGAGTTTGAAGACCATGGCCCTAGACCATCCCCTGACTCCCTGTGGCCATTAGCCCTTCCAACCCCACCTTCCCAAGTCCTCCTGCCTGTTTCTGAAATTGCTCTGATGAGGCTTATCTTGAGTTCTCAGGTGAGGAGCCCAGAAGAGTGGTGCTTGTCCTATACTATCTTCTACCACCCTGCGCACTTCTCCTTTCCAGGGACATAGGTCCTTTTCTTGAAAGTGGAAGACCTAGGAAGTAGAGATGGTCCTGTCCTTCATGCAGAGCATCTTTATGCTGCCATGGGGACTGAGCTGGTGGCCGCACAACCTGACATACCCTGTCCGGGTGCCTCTGCTTGACCACAGTGTGCTCATGATAAACCTTCGACATAGTGACCCCACTGATGAGAAGTGGCTCATAAGTCACCCAATGAAGCCATGGACCACCCTAGCAGGCTCTGGGACAGTTAACAGTCTCACCTCCAGCTGACCTGAATAAGGGCCTCACTGACCGCTGTCCATTCTCCCAGGCCTACCCCTGTGGGCTAGGGACACCCTGCCTCATGCCTGGCCCACTGCCCAGAAGGCAAAGAATGTGGAGGAGACCGCCCCTTCTCCCCTGTAGCCTATCTGGGGTTGGACACCTGCTCATTTCCCTGCAGGAGAACTCCTGAGGATTTCAAAAGTAGACTCTGGAAAACTTTAACCTGGGCTATTGTAGGCTTTCATGGGTCCAAAAATGTGTGAAATTTTAACAAAAAAGTACATTTTTCTGGACATGCATCAAATTCTCTAAGGGATCTATTACCCCAAATAGGCTAAGAACCACGTTCTCTAAGGAGCCCCTCAGTAATCTCTGGATTACTGGAAGGTTCCTAGATATAAATGGGGAAACTTAATCCATAGTTAAGTATTAATGGGAAAGGAAAATGGCAAAGAACATAACATGGCAATTTATTGACTACAAAATACATGACTTATAAACATGAATAGAATATACATTGACTTATAACATGACTTATAAACATGGATAGAATATACAATCAGAAAGTACACAAAGCTCAAGTGTATCGCTCAATAATTACTTACAAAGTCAACAAGCCATCAACTAGCACCAGATGCGTAAAGAGAACATTACTAGGCACTCCAGAAGCTGTCCACAGACCCCTTCCAGTCATATATTCCCCTCCTCCACAAAAGTAACAATTATCCTGACTTCCATTGCCGTATGTCAGTTTTGCCTAATTTTAAAACTTTAAACAGAAACAAACAACATATTCTCCTTTGTGTGTGGCTTCTTTTACTAAACGTCATCTATGTTGTCTCTCATGGTGGTTTATTTTCATTGTTACATATTACATATTATTCCATTGTATCAATATACTAGTTTATTCATGCTTTTATTGATGGACTTTTGGAGTTTTCCCCATTTGGATAATGCTATGAACACTCTTGTACATGTCTTTCTGTATTTATTTATGTCACTGGCTTATAGTATAGGTGTATGCTCAGTAATAATATGCTGAACTATTTTCCAGTGTTTATACCAATTTAAATTCCCAATGGCACCTTATGTTTTAACAGGATCACTCTGGCTGCTGCACTGGGAATTTGTAAGAGCAATGGTGGAAGCAGGAAGATCATCAAGAGGTTTTGCATTAATCCATGTGTGATAAGATGGGGCTCAGCTCAGGACAGTAGTACCAGAGATGGTGAAGAGTTGTTGGATTTTAAAGGTAGAGTCAACAGGAATTTCCTGACAGGTTGTATATGGAGGATAGAAAAAGACAGGAGACACGGATGTGTCTGAAGTGTCTGGCCTAATCAACTTTATGGCTGGAACAGTCATCAACTGAGATTAAAACTTGGCAGCCAATCTATTTGGCATTTTACATTTGAGATGTCTATTATACATCCAAATAGATACGTCAGCTCAGTTTTTTTTTTTTTTTTTTTTTTTTAAGATTTTATTTATTTATTTGACAGAGAGAGACACAGTGAGAGAGGGAACACAGGCAGGGGGAGTGGGAGAGGGAGAAGCAGGCTCCCCGCTGAGCAGAGAGCCCGATGCGGGGCTCTATCCCAGGACCCTGGGATCATGACCTGAGCCGAAGGCAGACGCTTAACGAGTGAGCCACCCAGGTGCCCCCGTTAGCTCAGTTTTAAAGGTCCCACACACATCACATCACACATACACTTTTGGACAGGGGAAGAATAAAATAATTGGCAGAAAAGATTTTGTAAAGTTTTTAAAATTTTTGTTTTTATTCTAATTTAAAGTAGATAATATATTCACATAATTCAAAATTCAAAAGATTTGTAAATGCATGCATGAAGGGTCCCCATACTTTTGTCCCCAAGCTATTTGGTTCCATTACCAGGACATAACTGATTTATTGTGTATCTTTAAATGATGTATAAAATTTTCTTTTTTGGCATTAATAATTGGGAGTTTCTATCTTGAACAAAACAAAACAAAACAAATGGATATGTCAGGGAGGCAGCTGGAGTTCAAGAAAGAGGTCTGAGTCATTGATTAAATTTGGGAGTTGGTGGCAAATGATGGTGTATTGGTAAGGGTCCAATCAGGAAAGAGAAACTCACTGTAATTTGAAAAGGAAAAGTTTACATTAAGCATTATTAACTACAACAGGGAATTGGAGCAATGAGGTATGGGCTAGTAAGAAGAGAACTCTAAAGAATATTAAGAATAGCAGATCTGAGGAGCGGCCAGTACCCTAGGACAGGGAAGAGTCCCCCTCCTCAACTCCAAGCCCTATCAGCTGAGATCCAGACCTCATTGAAGGGGTATGGCCACGGCCCACTGGTGTCAGGGCGGTCTCTGCAGTGCTGCACCACTGGAACTTGCTGGCAATCCCTGTCTGGGTGCTGGGGAAAAAGGCAGGTGTCTCAGGAGAGTCCCTCCATGACAAAAGTGCCAGGAGGTGGGGGTAGGGGAAGAAAGAGTGGGGCGTGCTGGCCAGCAGATGCTGCTGGGCACTACATACTGGAGGCGCTGGCCCTGGAAAAATGACCCACCTGCAGGAGCCTGGCCAAGAAGCAGAGCAAAACCAGGCAGAAAGACTGCTTGCTCCTGCAAAGCCTCTCCATCGCCCCCTACTTACAAAACTTTTAATACATATGCCAGTGTCAAAGGAAACATTTTTAGAGTAGGCAATTGAGAATGAATTTGTGGCAGAGATACAATAAATTGTTAACGGATACAGATGACATATAAAACTACAAGACAGAATGAAATCACCAGGGAAGAAGTACAGACACAGACGAGAAGAGCAAAGGCCGAGTCCTGCGGGCTGTCTAACTTGAACATGTCAGGTAGGAGTGGAAGAACCTTTAGCAAAGGCTACTGAGAAGGAGCAGCCAAGATTGTGGGTGGTGTGCTGGGAGCAAAGAGAATCTAAGAGAGAATAGGAGGAGAGGAACTGGAGAACATATTGACAATTCCTTTGTGAAATTTTGCTACAAAGAGGAACGGAGAAAAGGTGTAGTATCTGTTATAGGAAACGGGCCAAGAGGAGTTTGTTTTGAAGATGGGAGAAATAACCGCATGTTGTACAGTGATGGGAATAGTCCAGTAAAAACTGATGATGTTGGGGAGAGAATAGACTGGGGGGAGTGACACCCTGGAGATGATGGGATCTTGCACTTGAGTGCAGGATTCCTTTAGGGGGACATACTGGTAGTTCACCTACAGTAACAGGCAGGTAGCAGAGGGGAGCATGAGTGGATGTGGTGGTCAAAGTCTGTGATGGTGGGAGTCTTCACTTCCATTTTTTTGGTGAAGTCAGAAGCAAGGAAGGGAGAGGTGGTGGGAAGGACTGAAGAGAGAAGATGTGAAATACTCATTTGGAAGAATGGCATAGACCAGGCAAAGTTAGCATTATTGAGCTGAGGGTGGTCAGCCTGGTTCCAGGGTTTCCTCCAGCCATCTGTGGTAGCATGCCGTAGATGGAGAATAGGGTCTACCCAGGGCTCTTATTTTACCGAGCAGATATGATGAGGTGACAGGGAGGTGAGGCAGTCAGTATACAAGAGACTGATGATAATGATTGCCCATGGAATTTAAGCGAGCTTACTAGGGAAGGAGAATTCATCAAGGGAGGAAGATCTGGGTCAGAGGTACTGGTTGGATTACAGTTGATTTCAGGGCATTAGAGGGAGAAACCTCAAGATGCGAGGTGGCAGTCAGTGTGGGATGCTTTGGGGACTGCAATCCTTGGACCTGACAAAGTCTAGGGTCTGATTACAGGCAGAGTGAGGGGCTGATGTAAGACAGAGGACAAGAATGGGACTCATGGAGCTAAGAGAATGTTGGGATTATCTACCTGTAAACTGAAAGCTCCAAGAAGTGAGAGGGATACTGTTGGAGGGAGTTACTAAATTACACACTCTTGACAGATGAGAGAAGTGGGTGCCCTGTAGAGTAGCCCGCCCTAGCACTGCAGAGTGAATACCTGTGGGATGCCGAGGGAGAGAACGAGCTCACTGTGAAAAGCATGAAGCACAGAGGTTTCAATTACTAGAGTGCGCCTAGTTTTGTGGGGGTAGAACCGAGTCTCAGGAGCACTGGTGAGAGCACACTGAAAAGAAAACCTCCAAGGCAAGAGGGAGACACAAATTCCGAAAATGTACACAGCTTTGTAGCCACGAGGACATCCCAGCTCACCTGAGATGGGGGTTAGATGAGCTTCAAGAAGTCCCTCAGGTGGGAATGGGCAGGGCCCTGGGAGGGCAAACCCGTGCCGGAAGAAACTGCAAGAGGCTGCGTTCTTCCGCGGAAAGGCCCATTTCCAGGACCAGAGAACGTGCTGAGTCAGAGTTTGTCCCTGCCCTCAGTCTCGGTGCTGGCAAAAGAGGGAATTACAGCACTGAAGAAGTGCGAGAATGTCCAGCTCTGCCATCTTTAAGGATGAGCAGGCAGATGAGCCAGACAGACTCCCAACCGTGGGCTATTCCAATAGGCCATGGAGGGACCTGATGCCGGTGGCATTCGGAGGCGACGGGGGCCACGACTCCGGTTGACCGAGACTAAATATGTTACTTCGTCCTTCGTCCTACACCAAGGAACGGGCTCTAGGCCGCACTGTCGCCACGGCCTCCGGGGGAACTCAGACGTGCGCGACGAACCGGCTCGGAGTCGCAAAGCCGTGTGGGCAGTGCGGCCGCCGTCCCCGCCGGGTCCGGGCGGCGCGCGGCCTCAGGTTGGATCGCACCGCGCAGTTGTCGCCTGCGCCCGTCCTCAGCCAATCAGGAGCCTTCCTTCCGGCTTTCCCGCGAGTCGTCCTTTGGCCGGTCTCTTTCTTCTGCAGCCTTGTTTCCTGCCGGCCTATAGAGTCCGCGCGTAGGGTGCATTTCCGTTTCCGGCGCTGTCCATGCGGGCCTGAGAAGTAGCGGTTGTGAACCCGGTAACGGCCGCGGGGTAGGGGAGGCGGCGGTGGTGGGCACCCGGGGACTGGGGCTCTGAGAGTTTTGCGAGTCGTGCTTGGCAAAGTCGGCCAGGACAGTCTTTGCCCCTGAAGAGCGCCTCAGGCGCTGGACCGGTCACACACAGTGCGTGCCGGAGTCTTGCTCCGAGGTCCTTGGGATGGCTGAATGAATTCGTGCGGAGAGCCGGAACCGGGTGGGGAGGTGGCAGGGAGAAGAGAGAGGTCGTTCCTTGGCGGGATAATCCTAGCAGGTGACTCAGACCTGGGCCACATCTGTTGATTCCATGTTGTGCTTTTCCCATCCCTCTCCCCGCCCCCCAAGAGAGGGAGAAAAGTGTCAGTACACGTTTGGAAACAAAATGTAGTAGAGAAGAAAAATAACGTCCTGAAATCACATAGCTATTTAGTTTCAAAGCGTTCCCTAGAACTCGGCTCTCCTAACTCCTGGCTGGTGTTTCCTGACATTATGCTGGTGTATGTGGACTTCTATTGGCGCTGGTGTGTGTCCGTGGGAAGTCTCTGACTGATCCCCTAAGTGCAGCCTTCTCATGTGGCCCTTTACTGCATGGCATGAAAGATACTAGTTTGGATTTCCTTCGCTAGTCGGATCACAGGTGTAGTCCTCTCTTGGCAAAATGCCTAGTACATCATAGGCAGCCACAAACATTTATTGAACTGAAATTAATTCAGTAACTTAACTGAGTGAAGTGACCTTTTTTCCCTTTTTTCTTAGTTTCTTTTTCTTTTTTTAATTAGCCAAGTGCTCAGATTGTATACAGCCTGGTTTCCTAAAAAAGCTCACTAATTCAGTGTTTCTCAATTTATGGGCCATGAATTCCTAGGACGCTCAGAAATCTTTGTGAGGGTTTCTGCAAATACATGTGGTCTCCAGGCATCATCCACAGTCAACCATATTTCACACATATAGATGTTACTATTTTTTTAAATGCATATAAATGATTATTGTAATTTAAAAGTTTTACAGAATCAACAGGTACTAAAAGTAACACATGTTATCATGTTGGAGGATTATTAAAATGCTTTAATTTGTTAAAATGTCTTAAAGATGGTTTAAGTTTGGAAACCAGTTCATTAGTGCCACTGATATTTTGGGCTGAGCAGTCCAGTATGGTAACTACTAGTCACATATGGCTATTTAAATTTAGAATGGAATTAATTAAAATTATATTCAATTTCAGTTTCTCAGTTTCACTGGGTCCATTTTAAGTTCTCAGAAGCCACATGTGGTAAGTGGCCACTGTGTTGAAAAGTATAGGTATAGAGTATTTCCATTATTGCAGAAATAGTGCTAATATAGACACTTAAGATGAATAAAAAGTAACATAAGCAGAAGGAACTAGCAAATCTAATTTATAGCATAACAGAGAAATGAAATGGGGAATAGTATTAAGCAATTTCTATCCTTGTTGCAGGAATACCTTATCTCTTCATAAAGAAATAAATGAAATTTGCTGTTTTTCCTTGGGTGTTTTCTGGATTGTAAAATGTTTCCCATATCCCTGCCTTATCAATGTAGGTTAGAGTTACCTGTGAATTGGCAAAAAGCCACTATGGAGACTAAGGACCAGAAGAAACACAGAAAGAAAAACAGTGGGCCCAAAGCTGAGAAGAAAAAGAAACGGCATCTGAAGGATCTCCAACTTGGAGACGAGGAAGATGCCCGGAAGAGAAACCCCAAAGCTTTTGCAGTCCAGTCTGCTGTGCGGATGGCTCGATCCTTTCATAGGTATGTTTAGCTGGAGTCTAGTTGTTATTCCATTTATTCTTTTTAAACAGTAGGAGACTCCCCAGATGTTTGGATTCATGAGTCTTTAACAGCTTTGAAGGACATGAAGATGCATGCCATATTCCTTTTACTAAAATGTGAGCCTAGGTGACTCAGTTGGTTAAGCATCCAATTCTTGATCTCTGCTCAGGTCTTGATCTCAGGGTTGTGAGTTCAAGCCCTGCATTGGATCCATGCTGGGCATGGACCCTACATTAAAAAAATAAAAAAATAAAATGTGAGCAAGTAGTCTTTCCTGTGGAAGCTGTCTTGCCTCCAGTATCTGCCCACTGATTGGCTTTTTTTGCCCAAGAGAAAAGCTTAAGAGTTTTTCTTTATAGAATTTCTTTGTTTGTGGGGTTAAGCTCTGTCGGTTAAGCATCCAACTCTTTATGTGAGTTCAAGCCCCATGTTGGACCCCACACTGCGCCTGGAGCCTTCTAGAAAGAAAGAAAGAATTTGTAAAATTTAAACAGTTTCTATGGTAATAAGTGTGCTTGTGTTTTTTTCTGGATATGTTTCATATAATATGTAGTAATAAATAGCTTTATTTAATGCATTCTTATTATATGCCAGCCATTGTACTTTAAACATTATTGAATTAAATTCTAATAGGAGAGCCAAATTTAACTCCACAGCTCCTGCTGTTATTCATTATGATACACTGCCTGCATGTTTATCTTTTTTTTTTAAACTAGTACAGTCAGCTAATAAAGCAATCAGATTTAAGGTGTGTATAGTTTTCAATACTCTATACTGTTGAAGTCAATCTGTTTTATGTTTACTAAAGTGGTTATTTGGATTGGGTCTAGAAGTTAACAAGTTAATGGTATCCATATTGTCTGTTCTGCTCTCTTTAAAATCTTTACTTATAAGGATGATGCCTTTTATATTTTGAAAGTGGATTTAATTTTTCTTTCTTTTTACAAATAGGACTCAAGATTTGAAGACAAAAAAGCATCACATTCCAGTGGTTGATCGAACTCCATTAGAGCCCCCACCAATAGTGGTGGTGGTGATGGGGCCTCCAAAAGTTGGAAAGAGCACTTTGATCCAGTGCCTCATTCGGAACTTCACCAGGCAGAAGCTGACAGAGATCAGAGGCCCTGTAACGATCGTGTCAGGTAGGAGGGTGCTACCCCAGGCTGATAGGGCATATGTCATCTGAGGGATAGGCATGTCTTTGTTGAACATTCTGTTGGACTGGTAAATGTTAAAGTAATGTTCTCACTTCATATTACCTCTCTTGTACTAAATTGGCTATAGCTTCAAAAAAGGATAGATTCCCTGATATAATAATGATATAGATGTATACCTAATTCTGACTGCTATATGGATTTGCCAGGTGTGTTCTCTGAGAGGTTTGGCAGGCCTGGGCAGCCTGGGTTGTTCATGGTGACAACCTTCATTTAACAGGGAGTGAGTATCCGCTGTGTGTCAGGCATACCTGCTTGCCCTCGTGAAGCCACATTGTTAGGAAAGTGAGGGAGATTTCCTCTCTTTTTCTGTGAGAAGTTGTCTGGTCTGGAAGATGGTGACCTTTCTGTTTGAGGGAAGATGAAATAAATTCCCAAATGGCAATGAAAGAATCTGAAATTTCTTTCCTTTTTTTTAAAAGATTTTATTTTTAAGTAATCTCTCCACCCAACGTGGGGCTTGAACTCACAACCCCAAGATCAAGAGTTGCATGCTTTGGGCGCCTGGGTGGCTCAGTTGTTAAGCGTCTGTCTTCAGCTCGGGTCATGATCTCAGGGTCCTGGGATCGAGTCCCACATCGGGCTCCTTGCTTGGCAGGAAGCCTGCTTCTCCCTCTCCCTCTGCTGCTCCCCCTGCTTGTGCTCTCTCTCTCTCTCTTAAATAAATAAATAAAATCTTTAAAAAAAAAAAAAGGTACATGCTCTACTGAGCCCCTGAAATTTCTTATTATAGCAATAATATAGTTGGATTGAGGCTTTTCTTTTTTTCTTTTTTTTTAAATTTTATTTTAAGATTTATTTATTTATTTTAGGGAGAGGGCACGCAAGAGCAAGTGGGGACAGGGGTAGAGGGAGAGAATATTTCAAGCAGATTCCCCACTGAGCATGGAGCCCGGAGCCCCATGCAAGGCTCCATCTCAGGAACTGGAGATCATGACCTGAGCCAAAACCAAGAGCCAGATGCTTAACCACTGAGCCACCCAGGTGCCCCAAAGCTTTTTCTTTATCATAAAGGCATTACTGTCATTTTGACAGAGTTCTTATTAATTTTTTTTTTTTTTAAAGTAAACTCTTACCCCCATTGTGGGGCTTGGACTCCTGGCTTGGAGATCAAGAGTTGTATGCTCCACTGACTGAGATAGCCAAGCACCCCACTTTTATGTATGTATGTATGTATTTATGTATTTATTCTTCTATGTATGTATGTATTTATGTGTGTATGTATTTATGTATGTATGTATTTATGTATTTATTTATTGATTGATTGTAAACTCTACCCTAACGTGGGGCTTGAGCTCAACTTTAAGATCAAGAGTCACAGACTGATTCCTTTTAACTTAAGTTAGAAGTAATGACTGTTCCATGAAGATTCTCTTGCATTATGTTTGAGGATGTTTTTAGCTACAGTGGGAATGTGGGGAACTTTGATAAAGATAGAGGTGTTGGCCTGCTGCTGAACAGCAGGATCATGGTCATCGCGAAGCTTGCTTGTTTGCCCATTCCAGGCAGAATTTTACGTGTTTGAGCACTTTATTCATGTGGGTAAACTTCTGATATTATTTTAAAATTAGGGAACCTAGCAAGAAAACCAAGATGGAATTTATTTTATCAGTTTTCTCCTATAAAAATGAACTTCTGGCATACTTGTGTAAGGGTATATGGTGCTTTACTGGTTAGAATTTAAAATGGTAATTAGAGTAAATGGA